AACCGCCACGGGATGGGTCTCATTTTGCCCGCAGTTGTTTCAGACCCGGAAGATGGCAGCTGCTAGTCGAAAGCTCCTCGAAGCGAAGCGCGTCCGACACATCGAAGGCCCTGCCGCCCTTCCTCTTCGCCAAAGCCGTGGCCAACATCCGCCAGAGCCGGCGCCCTGGAGCCGGCGTGCTAGTTTTGGCTCGTCTTTCTTAGGATTCGGACCCCCCCAAAAGGGAGTTCGGCGTTTTCCGGTTGGTTTCCAGGCAACGACAGGGTACCATGGGTACCTTTCGCCACAAAGAAAGGCGTTCAAAGAGACCATCATCCATGTGTGGTACATCCTTACATCCATCGACCCAATTTGTTTGCTTCCGGCTTCGCTATGGGAACGGTGCGGCCCGTTGGAGTCGTGTTTTTGGAACGTGGTGAAACACCCTCGGTGCCATTGTTCTTCACCCGGTTTTCTTGTTCCCAGCCGTCCGGTTCCTTTCAGTTTTTAAGGGTTTTAGTTGGTTTAGTGGGGAAGTCCATTCCTTATAGGTGTTTGCACCATGTTGGGTTCAACTCCCTGTAGCTCTAAGAAGCCTACAAGAAGCTCATCCGGACATCCCTGTGCTTTTGGTAGGCAGTTGGCCGATTTCCAGAACTTCCTGTAGCGGATGTCTATGATCGTCCCTGTCACCCGGCAATGTTGACCCATCCCTAGAAAGCTGGTTGACATCCTGGGAACAGCCCATTTTCCATCACTAGCTGATGTTCAGTAGAAATGGGCATGTGTCACTACTTGGGGTACCCCCATGCTGGTGTTCCTTTGGGTTTTGTGAAAAGGTTTCCTCAAGCACATGGAATCCCGAAGGGTAGGCACAAGATGGTGGGTGGAGCGCCTCTTTCGGATTCCTTACGCTTCCCGTTTCGGGTTCCGTTTCGGGTTCGCCTCTGCTCTAGCCCACAAACCCCTTGGACCGCATTCCTCAAGCCTGCCCAAACCTTGGTTGTCGTTGGGGAAACATTTTACAATTTTGCTTATCGTGGTTTAGTGGGAAACCCCCACATAACTGCCAAAATTTGATCTTTTGCTCCCCTTCCAACGTCAACCAAGAAACGCTGCTGGGTTTCTGAGGCTGCTGGTCCCAAAGCGGGTGGAACCGCGTCATCGTAGAAAAGCCCTTCGGCAAGAACGGCCCGGGGCCCAAATCCAAGCGCTCGATCGACGGATGTGTCGGAGGGGTTTTCTCTTTTGGTTCTGTCTCAAACTGGTCAGAAGGCAGACTTGGCTTACGTGTTTAACCACTTCTGGCTTTTTTTGGGGGTTCCACGATTTTACTTTCCGAGCAGCAAAGAGTTAGTTTTTGTCTTTTCAAGGGGTTCTATGTCTGGCCAACTGCTGTGGGCGCTTTGCTTGCAACCATGAGCACCATCATGGCCATGCGCAGACGGACAAACCAAGACATGTTTGTTGTTGGGAAACATTTTACATTTTTGCTTATTGTGGTTTAGGTGGGAATCCCCACTTAACTGCTAAAAAAATGCTCCCCTTCCAAGGTCAACCAAGAAGATCTGACTTTTTGAGTTCTTGGACTTTAGACTTCTTCAAGGTCCCCCAGCTACGTGCCCTTTTACCGTTTCTTTTTTGGGGGAGGGTTCCCCCACAAAAAAAGAAGACAAACAAAAAGTGGGAACCCTTATTCTAACCTCTCTACTGGAGGACCTAGTCTTTTTGGAGGACCAGAGGAAATATTTGTTTTTGGCTGGTCAACTCGGGAAGTGAGAAAGAGGATGGGTAATGAGTTTTCTCCAGACCCACTATTTGCACTGAAATAGGTTGATGCCCACAGGTACTTACAGGGGCAGGGTATACTTAGTAAGTGGTTAGCAACCATGGCTATAATCCACTTACCATGGCTAGAAGTCTCCGTTCAGTGGGGAACAACCAGGCTTACAGACCACTTACTAAGTACCATGCCCCTTTAAGTAGGGTTCAAACCCCTTTGTGGTGGTTGATGCAGTCAAATGAAGAACCTATGTATGTTTTTCTGCGTGGCCCACCCTATCTTTCGGCTCATTCTTGCAGAGGGTAGGAGGGTGCCCTCCTCAATCATTCGGCGTTTTCCCTTGCCCCTTTCCTTTGGCCTTCTCATTTTCGATTGACGAAAAGGGATCCAAACTTTCGGTTTACCACTATGGCCTTTGCATGAACTTGGGACGTGAGTCTTCCTTTCTTCCTAATCTGATTTCTTCCAATTGCATGCTTTGACTCTGTGGGTAGGGAAGAATGTATTGGGTTTTGCTTTTGCGGGCCCGAATGAAGGGCGAGTTCCTTGCGATTCTCTACATGCTTCACTGACAAGACTCTCATCCTCTGACGAGGTTGTAGTGGCTGAAGCAAACTAACCTTCGCGGCCAAACCCAGGCTTTGGAAGTTTGTGTGTTCCCTTGTGGCCCAACAGCAAGGTCAACATTCATGATGGAAGCTGAGGATCGGAGGCTTAAGACGACTTTCCTTTTGTTGGAAGCCACTCCTCGGAAAGGGTGTTTTTTTTTGTTTGCCTAGCCCTAGCACCTCAGCCCCACTCCTCCACTTTTATGGTTGGAAGGCGACTTTTCTCGGTTCACGTCAGCTTTTGCTTCATGCAGCTCGCTGGCTCAGGCCAGGTTTCCTCAGGCATCGCTCTCTGCGTTCTGTTCTTGGGTTTTTGGAGTTTGGGTGGCTGGTCGTTTTGAAGGAATTGCACCCTCCCCCAAAACCCCCCCTCCCAATGGTGCCTTTAAACACCACATCAAAGGGGTCCCCTCCAAAAGGGAAACCCCCATAGAAACATGTTCTCACCTTCTTTTGATGACAAATCCATTCGAGATCTCGGACGTGAGGGCTGGTAGGGGTATTTCCAAGATTGCTCTGCTCCTTAGTTTGGATCTCTTAATTTCTGGGATTTGTTGCTGACCGCTTCCATGTTCTCTCGCGAGCGAAACCAGACCCTTCGAATCCGAGGAAATGAGGCGGCGGCCTTGTCCAACAGCCATGGCCTGAGAGCGAGGGAGAAGAACTTCATACCTCGGACTTGGGGCTTTTGAGGCCCATCGCATGTCCTAATTACAAGCGCCAGCGAGCCCCACGCCCACGCGCCCCAAATGGCCGGCGGTGTTTCGTTTTTTGTTTGGGGTACCCCCGGCTTTTTGCGTTTTTTTGTAACAGGTGACCACCGGGAAGCACCATTTGGGGGAGGGGGGCTTAAAAGGGACACACCCAGATGGGCGGAGAAGTGTTTTGCGGGTATGCTGTTTGGGAGCACAGGGAAACCTGTAGGAACTCGTACCATGGCTTTATGTTTCCACAGACCCAAGTCCCCAAATGCCAAGCTTCCATGTACATATGGCTGAGGCTCTTTGTTGAGGGCCTCCTTTTAGGGTTTCTTCAAAACCAAACTGAAACCACACATCGATTTTTGGGGGAGTCGGGGCGCCCACGCCCACATGAGCAGTGCCTAGCCCCCGTAGTGGCAATTGAAGTAGGTGGTTCTGTGGCTTTGGGATTGGCCTAGTACATATTCTATCAACGTCGGCGAAACCAAGCATCAATTGGTTTGGTTTGCCGGGTCCATACGGGTGTGTCTCTTTTTGAGGGCGCCCCTGTTTGGGGGGTTTTAAAGGGAACCAAAAGGAACATAACTGTTGGGGGTCACCTAAAAAGAGACAAACCCGTATGACTTGTTAAACCTTACAAGGGCATGGATCAGGTCATGACCCCAGGTTCATTGAGTGACTACTCCTTGGGCATGGAAGTCGCCGTTTGGGCCTTGCAGGTTCCAAACAGGCTCGTCTGAAAGGACCGGGACCCCTCGAAACGGATTCATCGATTCTTCTGTTGGGTTCCGAGCCGCCAAGGCCTGTCCATTTCTCTGCACCACGGGCTTGCCATGGCTTAGTGGCGAAACGGTTTCCTGGGATCGAGGGAACTTATTTACAGGAACTGGGTTGTTTGTCCATGGTCGCCAGCCACTTGCGCTCGCCGACTACCTCAAGTATGATATCCGGATTGTGGGCGATGTTGAGGCAGCAAGACTTGCCCTTGTCTGGCTCAGTGCCCCCGTCATGCCGGTGTCCAGTTCACGAGACATGGTCCTCTGCACCAGGCTCGAAGAGCGGGAGCTCCCGCCACGAACCCATGAAGTTGCAAGCCGCAAGCGGATGAACTGCTGCAGCCGGCTTGAACTGCTTAGCCGCTTAGCTGTCTGGCTTGAGCAAATGAGCTGAAAGGCATGACCAGTTTACCACAGCGGCTGAGCCACTTGGAGGGTTTGCATGCCGCGAACACGGCTCCCGAAACATGAAGTCAACCTAACCCGGAGATTCGGGAGATGCTTGACCTTTGCAAATGCTTGGACAGTTTCATGTTTTGCCCTTGCCAGACTGAGCTTAGCGTTTTAAGTTGTTGCCTTGACACCATTGCGCATGTGTTTCTTGTGGTTCATAAATTATTTGTTTACTGTTTGTAGACATGATTTGTTTAAGAGAGTTTCCTTATGCTATTTGCTTGTGAGGCTCCCTATATTCTGCCAACCCCAAACCCGATAAACCGAGCTCACCAACTATGATGAAGATCCTCCCCTTTTTGAGTTTTGGACATATTGTAAAACTTGTAGATGGTCCAAAGAGGCTCCCTTTGTCTTGGGTCTCCTCCCAAGCGTTTTAATATTTCTGGCTTCACTAAACATGGGAGGCAGCCATACTTTCCTGTGTGCCCAAGTTATATTCAATCAGCTTATGGATGGCCAGGTCCATCATTGGATCTCTTCCGGTGCTGGTATCCAAATTTGCCAAGTGCGCCTTTGGAGCCACCAGGAGGTCTTTCTGCTGAACTAGGTCCCCCAGTATAGTCCCCTTTTATCAACTTTTTTGGGGGAGGGGTCCCCTACTAAAATCGACTACAGGAAAAAAAACAAGAACAAAACGGGTACCCTTATTCTAACCTCTCTACTGGAGGACCTAGTTATGGATGTGGTGCCACCACTTAAGGATGTGGTGCCGCCACTCCATCGGCCCCACAAAACGACTCCCGCGGCGGTTTTTCGCGCCGATTTCCACCGGCGCCATGTGCGACGAGTCGTTGCTCTTCGCGGCGCTGGCGAAGTATCCGCGGCACACAGCGCCGGGGCCGACGTGCCATCCGCTGCCGGACCGGACCAAGGTGGAGGCGCCCCAAAACGGAAGTGGGGGTTGTCTTAAAATTACTTGCTGGTGCTCAGCAGGGAATGAGGGAATGACTCTGGGGATTCCCTTAAAGGAAGCCATAGAGGATTTCCTTATAGGGGTCATTCCATCATTCCCTTATAGGGGTCATTCCCTTATCAGGGAATCCTCCATGAGTTTCCTTTCAGGGAATCCCCAGGTTCATTCCATCATTCCCTTCTGAGCAGCAAGATGAGCTTTCCCCCTGAGTCCCGTTTCGGACTCCAGTCACTGGGTTTGGACCATTCCGGTGGCAAACAAAAAGCTTGGCAACGTACTTTGTTTGGCCAATCCGCTGGATCGAAAGTGAGTTATGTGTGGCTCCCTTCAGGTGGGTCATTGAGCTGCTCAAAGTGGTGGACCCTCTTTTGTTGTTGGTATGTACAGGACAACCAGAGAAGCAAATACACACCCCAGCTTCGAGGACACACCTATTTGAAGCGGCGCCAGGTTTGATCTGTTGGTACCATTTTGAGATTGGTTTCAAATCAAAAGGACAACCACTATTTTGGGGTCTCCCTTTGGCACATACCCATATGACAGTCCACGGCCCATCTGGCAGGGACAGAGCAGGATTTCTTATTGGGAAAGCTGTTATGGTCTGTCTAATTCTGGGGGTACCCCATTTGGTTGGGTGTTAAACGGAAACCAAAAGGACAACAACAGTTTTGGGGGGGTCCACCAAAAAAAGACAGAGCCATGTCGACTTTCTGGGGGGGCAGTGCCCGGCTCGGCAGGAGTTGTTTGACTGGCCGAAGGTGGCAGAGGAGACGGGGATGTCTACGGAGGAGCGGTCAGGGATCTACTGTCGGAGGCCTCCAGGACCACTGGAAAATGCCAAGTGACCCTAACTATGTTTAGCTAGGTGCCCGACCACTCACCCGTTTCTTTTTTGGGGAGGGTGCCACTACTAAAATAAACAGAACAAGTTGGTACCCTTCTTCTACCCTCTCTACTGGACCTAGTCAAGGAACCGTAAGGAACCCAAACAACCCTTCATAAACGGCGTCAACAATCGAAAGTGCTTCTAGTCTTGGAGAAAAGCGCAACTCAGACATGCCCAGTGACACTAGGATTGTTTCAGGTTCGGCCCATTCAGCGCACATCTAGTCTTAGGAGCCAAGGAAAGAGGACGCCTTCCCATTGCCCAAGGGTTCGAGAGACATGTAGTTGCCCCCCCCTACAGAAATTAGGCGGGATTTGAAAAGTACTACAGTAGATGGACGAAATATTCAAACCCCTGACATAAGGTTTCTGTATGTACACCCCGCGCCCCAGATCTCAATGTTGAAATGTCAGCGCTGACTTTATGTTCGTGGGGTTTGATTTGTTTTGTCCAGTGGGCCCTTGTCCCTGCAAAACATTCCAACATTGAGATTTGGGGGTGGGGGGGATAGATTCATACTCGAGGGTTTGAGTATTTCGTCCATCTACGGTAGGATTGCCATTCCATTCGTCCGGGGTTGGACTAGCAAAGATTCCTTCTCCGGAGACCATGCACACATGGCTGTTTTCTGGGGGGTAGGTTTGCCTACAATGAATACTTGCTTGCGTTTATTATCGTTTTTCATTCATCATGTTTCTCGTCGTGTTCCTGGACCCCCAATGGACCTTTTCTCTGCAAAGGCCCATACAAACAGGGGGATCGGTCCTTGGCGATTTTGTCCAGGTTCCCTATCTGTTGCTCTCTTTTTTTCCTGCTTGTTGTGTCCCTAGACTCTCCATGACCCTTTAAATATGGGTCCATGACCCCTTATTTTGGGTGGCCCCATTTTTTTAGGGTCGTGGAGAGTCCAGGTCATCATGTTTGTTTTCTCCGTGGTTGTCTTTTCGAAGGAGGCCCTGGCCGCCACCTTCGGCCCGGTGGTGAAGGGCGCCCGCCGCGGCCTGCTGCGCACCCGGGCCGCAACGAACGCGACGAACGGATTGGATGGATCGGCGGAGGCGAAGGCGGAGGCGCTGAAGCGGCTGGGAGTGCTGCTGGTGCCGGCCCGGGGGCCCTGGAACAGTCGTCTCCCCCCCGCTCGCTGGGGCTTCGCTTCGGGCTTCGAGCGTCGGGTTATTCTCAGGAATGACGGAACACAACCTCTAGGTTGCGTAGAAGCTCAGGTTCAAGGAGTAGGTGGGAGGGGGGGGGGCCCGGAGTAAATTACAGAGCTGCTGGCCGATGTTTTGAAAAAGCTTTGAAACTTGGCCCTGGACGAAAGCCTGAGGCGGCTCGCCACTCTAGCGGGTACTGGTAGCAATTGTCCTTCTGGTGTTTACCAGCAATTGTCCTTTTGGTTCTCAAAGGCAGGTTCTCTTGGTTACCCTTCCTTCCATGACATGGTCAAAAGACCCTTGTGTTTGGGAGTGCTAGGGATTTTCTTGCATGACATGGTCACTTTCAACTTTAGCCCTCTTACTTGGATTGTCATGGACCTGGGCTTTGGACAATCGTCAGCATTTCTGCACCATTGCCCGCCTGAGGAGTTTTGTGACCGCACATGTAGGAAGTAGCTGGGCGGGTTACACCCGCCAGATCCTTCTCTGGGGTTACCCAATTGTAATGTTGTTTGTTTTTTTTTCTGCGGCTTCAGGATTAGGACTGGCCAGCGCTACATTTTGAACAGCCCGGAACAGGGTGTCGAGACCACTTTCTGTGATACCAAGGGAATGATCTTCAAAGCCATGAAGTGGGTTTCTGGTTTTGTTGCGAATTTGTATTTGGGTGATACCCTTGTTTAGGTTGGCGTACACACCAAAAAGGAAGACCGCACCCAATTTTGGGAGTCGGGGCCATGTTCTGACCCAGCAGGGTTGACCTTTTATGTCCGTTTTTTTTTACACACACAAACCAGCAAGGCTGTGCCTCTTTCCATTTGTGCAGGGCCAAATCAATCTCGCAAGTTTTTTTGCCCCGTCACACCTGACAGCACTGCACCAAACTTGTTTACCTTACAGAGGGGCTGAAGTGTGGGTGTGGTGGAACCCGGGTCCTTGGTTCAAGCTTAAAGAGACGAATCCATCTGATGTTCACGGACACCCGCAGATCAAGTCATGGCAACCCAGCGACCAACCAACCAAACACTGTTTACAAACAACACAACCGAGCCGAAACCAAACGAAGCCAAAGCAAGCCAAACCACGGCCCCAGGAATAAAAGAAAACTCTCCCAGAGGGTTCCTTGGTACCTCATGAGGATAGCTTTTGGGGGGTAAAAAACTGCCCTTCAGTACCTCCCTAGAAGGTGCCAAAAAAGAGCCTCTGGGTAGGCCACGGACCAAGGACTTTGTGCGGGAGGATGAAGAGGCCCAGATCCTGCGGGCCTTGTTGGATCAGGGCGAGGTGAAGTGGGAGGATCGGCAAGGAGGAGACCAGTGAGCTGCAAGTTTGGGTATGTTTAGGTTTTGGTCATTTTTGGGACCGTCTTTTGCTTGGTTTTGAAGGAAAAGCTTGCAAGTTCAGGTTTTGGTCATTTTTTGGGGGGACCGTTCTTTTTGGTTGGTTTTAAAGGAAAAGCACTTAAGAGGGGTGTTTAGGTTTTCGTCTTTTTATTGGCACCGTTTTTTGGGTTGGTTTTGAAGGGAAAGGAAGAGGAGGCCAACCATTTGGGGTTCCTCCATGTTGCGACAAACCCCTTTTTTTGTGTGTGTGTGTGTTTGTGGTTGACTCTTTCGAGGAGATTCTTTTGAATTGTTTATTTTAAAGAGCAGCAAGACTGCCTCATTTCTGCGTGGCACATAAACACATAACACCCAAGAAGCGGATGTTCCAAAAACTTTGGCCTCACTCAAAACGACAATAAGTTGTTTCGGCCCCATGTCAATCTGCTAGGAGTTTAGGTTTCCCAGCGATTCCATTTCCCTTTTTTCAAGCGGCCATTGAGTTATTGAGCCGAAAGCCGAAAGTCGAAAGTCGAAAGTCGGGCGTACTGATTCACTTGGAAGACGAGATTTTGTTGAGGCCCCTTTGCAGGCTCCTGACTCCCTGAGTTCTGTGAATCGGACTGAAGAGTCACTTTTTGGGTTTGGGCCATTTTCGTGGCAAACACAAAGTTTTGTTATTGTTTGGCCAATCTAATTAGGAAGCGAGGATTAACTTCAAGCTGACCACCTTTTTGGGGTGCCCATACCCATGTGTCACCGAGACCCCATGCAAGCCACTTAGTGTGTAACACGTCATGCTCCTCTTGGTTCTGGAAGGGAGGGAAACTTCTTGGTTTGCCGATCCACTCTCTTTCCAAGTATCATGGATGTGGACAAAGGGCTCTGGTGAGACAGGAAGGCTTTGGAAGACTATCAACATGAAAAGTCCTCCTGTGCACTTCCATTGGCAGACTTGGCTGACTGCTTTAACGTTTTGCCGTTTGGGTGTCCTTCATTGTCCTTTCAACCAGCAACAAGTCTTTCACTAGTGCAGTGGGTTTCAGTTTCTGGTCAAGCATGACTGGAAAGAGGATACGTACCCGCTTTTTTTGGAACCACCCTTCAGCTTTTTACCAAATCTCGCAGGAGGTGGCCTTCATGCCAGCTTCGGTCCAACCTTCCTGCGCGAGTCCGGGTACAAGGCGGACCAACTTGGGTCGTTGGTCCCATGCAAGACGCACTTGATCTTCAACGCGTGATTTGGACGCAACAAAAGTCGGAGACCCACCCCAGCTGACAGGGGGTCCCATCAAGAGGGCTTCGATCTTGGAACTCTCCTCCCCTCTTTTCCTGGTGCCTTCGGTTTGGATAAATTTGTATCCAAGTGGACATGTTCGGTCATGGATTTTGGAGGCATGGGGTTAGATCCCACTTGTGTACGTGAGTTTTTTTTTGGGGGTATATACTGACTTTACAACTTAGCTTATTTTGGGTTTATAAGCATCCATACCCTGAACCCCGGTGGAAGTCAAGTATTGGACAGGTGGAAATGAATCGTGGGTCCAAAGCCATTTGTCTGTCTTTTTTGAGGGTACCACCATGTTTTCTTCACTGCTATTGGGTTGGATCTTTAGACTTTAACTTTTTGGGACATCAAGGAATTTTCCACTAAACCCCAACAAGTTAAACTTTTTGCAAGCCAAGTTTTGTTTCTGGTTTTTTAGGGACACCAACAGCAGAGCCGCTATTTTAGCCCAGATCCCAGTTCCTTAGCAGGTCACCAAGCATCCTTGTTCTTAGATTCTTGGGTGGCAAGCCCTTGGGTGCCTCTTTGTTTGAGCAGCCTTCATTCTTCCTACGACGGGCCAAGTCTGGAAGCCGCAGTCAAGCTACGCTTTGGTGGTTTGGAGACCTGCTACTTCAAAGGGCAGGGTACTTAGTAAGTGGTTAGTAACCTATAGCCCACTTAGGAGACTTATAACCACGGTAAGTGGGTTATAACCATGGTCACTAACCACTTACTGATTGCCCTGCCCCTTTAAACAAAATGAAACTCCCTCAACCACCAAACGACCAAACCTCCAAACCACCAAACAAGGGGAAGCTGACACAGAGTGCGAATGAAACCCAAAACCTTAGGGGTATGTGCTGTTTCCCGGTGGACTGATAGTTGCCTGTATAGAAGGTAACCAAGGACCACCCTTCAAACACCAAAAGGAAAATGGCTAATCACAATGGCAACTGGGACAAGGTTGTGGGCTACCTGGATTTTCCAATTTGTATCAAGGGAATTTTCAGGGATGGGGTTTCAGAGTATGGATGTGTTTATATACCAAAGTATGCTTGTAAGTATCTATATACCCTTGTATAAGTGATACATATATATATATATATAAGTGGTATATAACCTCCATACTGTGGATGGACAACATCCTGCACCAGTTCGTAGGTGGTTCATCCCATAGGGTTTCATCCATCCCAAGTGGTGCAGGATTCCACCCACAGTACCTGAACATTTCTCCAAGAACCGCAGGGTGTCCAATTCGTTGGGCGCCAGGTGGATCGCAACAAGGCCTTTACCGCGCTGCCCAAGGTGCTGGACTCCGTGCGTGCCCTGGGTTCAACCAGACGGGGGGGGGGCTGCTCAAAATGGTGGATCTTCTGTTGATTGGCATTCAAAAAAAGGGAAAACCAGCCGCGGAGCTCCCCCCCCTCCCCTCCCCAAGGGTAGCCCCCCCCCCCTTCCTGTGAGGGTGGGGGTGGGGTGGGGGTGGTTGGGGTGGTGTGGTTTGGGGTTGGTTTAGGGTTGGTTTAGGGTTTGGTGTAAGGTTCGTCTGGGGTTGGTTTGGGGTTAGGGGGGTTGGTTTAGTTTGGGTTGCTTTGGATTTGGTTGGGGTTGGTTTAGGGTTGGCTTCGTTGGGGCGGGGGTGCAGGGGGTGAAAGAGGTTGCGGGGACAGTAGCTGCAGGCTATGCCTGCCTTTTTTTTAACGAACAGGACAATTGCTACTAGTACCTACTACAAGGCTTGCCTTGGATCCACTGGGTATGCCCAAAGCTCATTTGCCGAGTTGGGCTTGAAGCTTTTGGGAATGCCATGTTGTGGCAAACGACAAGTCTGGACTTATCTTACCAATCTACTCAGGAAGGGAGCTAAAGCCAGACAAGGGTACCCTCAAGAAAGAAAAGCCCATTGGACTGGTGATTCGGTTTTCCTTCAATCTAAACAACTGCAAGCGACCAGAAGGGCCCCCTGTTGCAGGAAAAGTGTTTTTTAGGGATCTCCAAGCAGGTCCATGGCCACGTGGGAGGGTAGTTGCAAACATGTGTTATGTTTTCTTCTTCACGGGGTAACATTAGTGTAACAACACCCCACCCGTTTTCAACTATTTGCACCCTAAGCTGAAGAAATCCGCATCGCAAACGAAATGGCCCTTTATGCAGGGTTCTGTACGGGAAACCACCAATAAACTGCAACTGTTTAAGGAACAACCCAGTCTCGTGTTGGTTTCTGTAGGGAACCAGGCCGCGGGTGCATTGGTGGTGCTCAGTAGGAAATTACCTTCCGGGTGTTGGGAATGAACTGGAAGAGGATTCCGTTTAAGGAAACCACAAGTTGGATGGTGTATTTCGTGGGGTCATTCCATGTCTCGTGGAGACTAGTTTGACACAGAGAGAGAGAGAGAGACAGAGCGAGAGAGAGAGAGAGAGCGAGAAAGAAAGAGAGAGAGAGAGAGAGAGAGACAGAGCGAGAGAGAGAGAGAGAGAGAGCGAGAAAGAAAGAGCGAGAGAGAGAGAGAGAGCGAGAAAGAAAGAGAGAGAGAGAGAGAGAGAGACAGAGCGAGAGAGAGAGAGAGAGAAGAAAGAGAGAGAGAGAGAGAGAGAGAGAGAGAGAGAGCGAGAAAGAAAGAGAGAGAGAGAGCGAGAGAGAGAGAGAGAGAGCGATAAAGAAAGAAAGAAAGAGAGAGAGAGAGAGAGCGAGAGAGAGAGAGAGAGAGCGATAAAGAAAGAAAGAAAGAGAGAGAGAGAGAGAGAGAGAGAGAGCGAGAGAGAGAGAGAGAGAGCGAGAAAGAAAGAAAGAGAGCGAGAGCGAGAGAGGGATCTGGAAAGAACTTATCCAACTAGAATCAAACACATTGCAGGTACCGTGGTATCATCGCGCCGAACCGTGTCTTCCCTAGGACTGCGAGCTGAAGCGCTGTTGGCTGCCAAAGGTGCCGTGAATCAGGACGCAGCTGTTTTTCTCCCCCAAGTTTTTTTTTTTTTGGGGGGGGGGGGGTTGACAGGTTCTATGATGAGGTTCCCCTTTATCGGCTTGGATTGGCGGTTTGGATTCGGATTCTAGGCCTGGTTCTTGTAGAGGGTAAATGGAAAAGATTGACAAGCGCCCTCCCTCCGACGTGCTCATGGAAGCTGATGATCAGAGGGTGTTGGAAGACAGAAGCTTTCCTTTCGAAGCGGAAGCCCCAAAACATTCGCAGGGCGTAAAAGAAGCATTTTGCCCATTTGAAACATGGTTTTTTTGCACCAAAATAAAGGAACGCCACCATTTACAAGGCAATGTTCAGGTGTATAATATAAGGATCCCTGATTCGCTTCCGTGATTGTTGGATGGCGGGTAACCCTTAATTGGTGGTTTGGATTTCTGGGGGAGCGAGAGTCAACCACCAATCCAAACCACCGAGAGGGAAGCTGAGGTTGACCACATTGAGCCAACAAGCACGGGTAGATGAAGCTTCATATGGAATAGTCCCAACCATGCAAAGGTGATGATCTCTGCACTGGTCAATAATTTGTTTACATTGTGTTGAGTACCTAGAGTCTCCAATGACCCTTTAAAAGTGTGGTCATTACCCTAAATAATGGGGTCATGGACCTATTTTTACCGGGTCATGGAGACTCCAGGTCCAGGTAGCCTTTGGGTATCAGGGTCTGATTCTCAGTTGGGTCTGTCGTCGAATCTAAGACTTTAAGGGACGCACCAAGCCCTCCACTGGATTTTATTGTCGGGCGCTTACTGTAGACCCAAAAAGGGGTCCAGGTCTTTCCGCCTGGGTCACGCAACAGTGGACCTCACAAGAGATATTTTGAATGTCCTGGACCAAATCCGAAAGGACCAATTCAGCCTTGCCACTTTTTTCTGGGTCCGCTGGGCAGAAAAAAGGGATCAACAAGAATACATTCCAGGTACTTCTTTGGCCCTTGAAAGATGGCCGCGGCCAAGCCTAAAGGGTGGCTTTGGTTTCCTTTGTCCCTCGGGGGAAATTACTACTGAAAGCCATCAGGTCTTTGGAAACAGCAGGTTGGGTTACTGGCACTTCGCACAGGTCCACTTATGAGCCGCTTGCTCAAAACCCGGGTAGATGAAGGCCAGTCCCAGCCAGAAATAGGTTTGGCCCCTTTCAATTCTTTACTAGGTTTTGAGTGTTACTCACTTGGTGTCCTCTCTAAACCACTGCCCCCAAGTTCAAGCATGGGGTATAGTGGTACACCTTGATTTTCCCTTAGGTGGACGCTTGGGGTTAGTGGAAATCCATGTTAGAGACTCGGGACTGTCTACATTTTGCAAAACAAGCAGAGGAACTCTCTAAACGTCGCATGGTCAAGGTATTCACCTCTAGGCTTTACATGAGCGTTTCCTTTGAAATAGGGGTCATTAAAGTAGTTTGCTTCTACAAGCATGACTACGTCTGCCTTTAAAGCCCACAACCCCATTCTGATGATTTGGACACTTACATTATCTGAGTCCACTGGAGTGACACTCTAATTTACCGCAATGCCTTAAATTCCCGCAACATACCCAGTCTTGGGCTGAAGGATGGTCTGTTTGCTTGCAACACATACTGTGGACGAAATTCTACACTTAAGAATCCTTGGGACGACGATTTCCCTGTAAATACCCATGGTTTCTCTAGTTGCCCAGTGGTGCACTTTTTTCCGTTTTGTTTTGGGAAGGGTTCCCCTTTAAAGCGTTTAAAGTCAACCAACCGAAAAAAAAATATATATGCCCCAAATGTTTTTTTTCTCCATGGAAATCCACTGGGCATCTGAGTTTGACTCCTTGGAGCATAGATTTCCCCTGTAGATACCCATGGTTTCAACCATGCTTTCAAAGTGGTTCGAGCAGATTTCGTGCATCCAAAGTAGGACTCGGCACTTGTATCGCACGCCAAGGGATATCCGTAGCAGGTGAGCCACGTGCTCAACACCAGGGAAAGTGAAGGTTAAGGGACGATCCCAGCCATAACTCGCTGTGGATATCCGCCTTAGTTCTTGAAGCATGGTTCTGGTTTCCGCCATTTTTGGTACCGGGTTTCGAGCAAGTGACTCAGGTGATGCTTCATGGGCTATGCACCTCAACGGCTCGGCGTCAGTTGCTCAGCTCGCTAGGAGGCGTCGACGCCCTTGGGCCTCTATGCCATGAGCGCTGCGGCGCGGGAGGGGCGCCAAGGGCCACTGAGCCAGGCACCGAAAGGGTCTACTCAAAGGGGCGATCGGGTACTCAGTACCTTCCATTTGCTTAAGAATATGTTTTTTTTTGTTAATCCCTTGTGGGTTTTAAAGGGAATCTATCACTACTGGATTTTTTTGCCCCGGGGGGCTCAAGCAAATGGAAGGTAAGTGGTTGGTAAGCCTGGTGAGAAAACCCGCTGAACGGAGACTTAGAACCATCGCTTTTGTGGGTCATAACCAGGCTTAGCCACTTACTGAGAACCCTGCTCCTTTAAGTAGAGGACGGTTGTCATTCCGTTTTTGGCGTTCGGTTTTTCATGGCGTCTCTTTTGATCTAAGGTTTTTTGTATTACACCCTGGGAATACACCCACTGGGTATTGACCCCATTTAGGCACATTTCCCGATACAACCGCGTTATTAACAATTCTGGGTCATTTCCCAAGGGTGTACTCCCAGGGTGTAATACAAAAAACCCTCAGATTTGAGGTCATGTTTTGTTGCGCCAACTTCCAGACCAAACCAGGGGCAAGGTGATTTTGAGGTACCCATGGGTGGTGTTGAAGAGATGGACACCCAAGGGCTCCCCCCATTTCTGGCGTCTAGCCGTAGACTTGGAGCTGGCAGGTGCAAAACCTAGCTCTGCCCACTAGTGTGTCTTTTTTATTTCTATCTTGACGTGCCGCCTTAAGCGGAACTTCGAGGGCTCCTATGTTTGCTTTCCGCTGAAGCCCCTGTTGTTGTTTCCGACAGCCCACCCTCAACCCGAATGACTGTGTAGGTTAAACCCAACATAAGCAACCTTCATGGGTTGGGTAGGGTGAGGTGTGGTGAAGACTTTGCAGGTGTAACACTTGAAATTGCACGAATCGGTGTGAATCAAAATAGGGAGGTGAGCTGAATTGTAATACATTGTGATATCCGAAATCCTGCACCACTTAAGAAAGCTTGGAATAATGATTTTCTTGTGAATACCAACAATGGTTTCCCATGGCTTCCAAGTGGTGCGAAATGGATTTTGTCCATCCACAGTAGCGAAGAACGACTCTCTCGGCAACATGTTGCGACCTTAATAGCTTTGTACAATCTCGGGCCACAATATGCTGCTTGTCGCGTTATGTTCAGTGCTTGAAGAGCGGCAACCCGGTTTTACAAGTCAGCAAGCGTGGCCGGGGTTCTTGGCAGAGTTCGGATAACCATTTTGGCAGAGGCCCTAATAATTAGCCGTGAAAGCAATGGGTTTGCATCAAACTAGCACAGCTCTTTCGCATCGTTTGCTTAAGAAACAACTTCAAGTTGCCTTATAGTGCGGAGTACCCCTAGCTTTTAGGCAAATGCCCATGGACTCGTAGGGGGCACGCTGTTTGTTGGTTTGTTTGTTTGCTTGTTTGTTTGTTCGTGTGATTTTGTGTGTGTGTGTTGCGTGGTTGCATGGTTGTTTGCTTGCTTGCTTGCTGGCTGGCTTGCTTGCTTGCTTGTTTGCTTTCTTGCATGCGTGGGTGCGTGCGTGCTTGCTTGCCTGCCTGCCTGCCTGCTTGCTTGCTTGTTTGCCTGCTGTGTGTTTTTGCTTGTGTTTTGTATTTGCTCTCTGTGTTTGTTTGTTTTGCTTCTGTGGTTTTGTCCGTCTTGTTGGTTGGTTGTTTGCTTTGTTGTGTGTTGCTTTGTGCTGTAGGTGGTGCGTTATGTTTGGTCATGTTCGTTTGGTTGATTGCTTGCTTGGTTGTCCGTTGAATTGTTTGTGTGTTTGTTTGGGAGCAAAACAATCGTAACTGGAGGCCTTTGTCAATCGCTACGAGAGTACCGGCAAGGAGAGCGACAGGAGCTGTGGAATTTGCTTCCGGGCAGTCGGTTCCATTTAATTTCGAGCAACAACGTTTCCACCCTGTTCCAATAACCACCTCCCCACCTGATGCAACTAAACCCGTAAAACAAGGCAGGGTGTAAGGAAAACCCAGGGCTATTTGGGTCTGTCCTTTTTTTAGGGTACCCTTTTTGGATAGCTTTGAAAGGAAGCCAAGAGGAAACCAACCATTTGGAGGTTCGCCCCGTTTTGAGACCAACCCATTTGTGTGCGTGCGTGTGTCGGAGTTTTGAGGCTCGGTGCCTTTTTCACCTTGCTTTGAGGGGAAGCCAAAAGGGAAACCACCTTATTGATTGTATGTGTCAAGATAGGGGTTTGGACCCCCAACCGAAATGGACCCTTGTTGTTTCCGTTTAAGTTCACCCCCCTATGTGTGTGGTTTGGAGCTGGTAAATCTGGGCACAATATGGGAGTTGTTGTTAAATATATGATGCGTTGTGTCTCCTTTCAACCCCACCTAAAATGATGTCCACCAAAGATTCCAATTCCCTCATTCACACCCATTTAGCCCCATCAAGGCACGAATTTTGGTGGACCCGAACTGGTGGATATCATATTCATGTCCACCAACCACTTCTCAGGTTCCCCATGTTCAAAGAGAAACTTCCAGGTGTGCGTTGAGGTACGGATGCTTCTACACCCCTTAAACAAGTGGTAGTTCTCACCTCCATATCTTCAAAACCAATGCGGGTGTGTCCTTTTTAGGGTATTCTTCCCTCAAAAGATGTGGTTTTCTTTTGGTTTCCCTGTAACACCAACCAAATGAGGGTGCCCCCCCCCAAAAAAAAACAAGAAAGGAAAGGAACATAACACAACAGCGCCATGCCTTCTGTAGGGGCAATTGAGTTAAGCAAAAGAGGGTTCCGGAAAACAAGTCAAGTGCATACCCTTCCTCCCACAAACAAGGCACCTGTGGGAGGGCCCTGGAAGATCAATGTTCTGCGAAAGGGACCCTGAGAATCACATGAAACGTATAAGACCAAAACCATAAACATGGAGTGTTTCGACAAGTACTTCCGGGTTTCGTTCGCCCGGGCGGCTCTGCCCATATCCTTACAGGGTTGCTGAAGATGCCCTTTCAGTTTCTCTTGCTGGTGCTCAGATGCATTCCCTGGAATGACTCCCATAAACCATCCATGGTTTCCTTTAAGGGCCCCCCAGGTGCCCCAAGCATTCCATCCTATGGTTGCTTTAAGCACTCCCTATCCCCTACCCATCGCACCAGCACTTCCCCAGCACCGCGATGGCAGCGAACTTGCGCCGCGAGGAACCAGGCGTTGGGCATGCACTTCGACTCCCGAAACGCGAACGAGGAGGTGGTGGTGGGCCTGAGCCTCGGCGAGGACGGATTGACGGGTGGGGTGTGGGCGCCGCCGGCCTGGGGGGTGGGGAGGTTGGGAGGGGGTTGGGGAGGAGGTTGGGAGGGGGTTGGGGAGGAGGTTGGGGGTTGGGGTGGGGGAGGGTGTGGGAGGGGTTGGGGTGGGGTTCGGGGGGAGTGGGGAGGCTTTGGGCCAGGTCACTGAGGTTTGGTACCGGTGTCTTTTTGCGGCGGTGCGCACTTTTTGTGGGTCAACTTGAGATATTTTGTTTGGGGAGCCTTTGGACATGAAATTCGGATGCGCTGAGAAACTCTTCATCGAAGCAACCAGCTGCTTCAGGATTTGCATCCTGGAAATATATATGGTGGTTCCCAGCCATCCGGTTCCGTAGCGAAACTTGAGCCATGCAGGTCTTGATTCTCTCATCAATGACAGCCGGAGCCGTTCGACGTTCGCGACAAAGGGTCCCTTTTAAAAGGAAACTGGTCCAAACCAGCACTGCCCGAACGTCAGGTTCCATGTGAATTGGTGGGATGGTGTTGGACGTGTCAAATGACTGAGGCTCCAACATGAAATCGGTGCCCAAAATGACACCGAGCGGTATATGGAACAAGAGACAAGCACCTTCGGTTTGCCCCAGTTGCTTAATTTTGAGCCACGCCAAATACCCCATAAAGTTTGATTTTCGCAAAGGAACACCAACAGGGATGGGTCGCTTTTTGTGTGTTTCTTTTTCGAGACCCGCTACACTATTTCGCACCCAGTGGAATTTTCATGTAGCCTTGCAGAATGTGCCTTGTTCGGGCAGTAAGATCACCGGTGGGCCAAATGAACATGAGGCTCCTAGTGTGATGTTGTTGGGACACATTTTACATTTTTGCTCATTGTGGTTTAGCGGGAAATCCCCAGTCAACTGCTAAAATATATTTTTGTTGCTCCCCTTCCAACATCAACCAAGTCCTGTTGGTGTGATGTTTGACAAACATCCGCCGTGTCAAGCCCCGATCTTCCAACCTCCAAAGGTTTCCAAGCATTCAGGGCAGCTTGCGTCAGGTTGGCTTGGCCCATGAAATCCAATTTCAATTAACTCACAAGAAGCCTCACTTTCTGAGCTTCTGGACTTTACATTTTTGAAAACAAAAAAAACATTTTAGTGGTTAACAACAAGTTTGGATACGCTTTTACTCATGAGAAACATGCGAGCGTGGAGTTTCTGCAATCTGTTCATGGCGAGCAGTCTCCTGTCCTTGTGCAGGATCTGGGGCACATCTTCTTTTCGCGATCTGGTCCACACAAGGGCCAGGCTGGGCTACGGGCAACTGAGCACTTTCGGGGGCTATCAAGAGAGCGTGGAACTCCTCGAATTGCGAAGCACGCACGTCAGAATCTAAAGCTGAGGATCCACGTTTACTACCTGGGTTGGGCTTGAAATGGCACCTGCCCTCTCAGAAAAAGGGCATGTGACCCGACTCATTTTTGGGTAAGTCGCATGTCAGCGGGAGGGTGCATAAAAAACAACTGGCCCAACACAGACCTTTTGACCAAGCTGGTTTGTCCTTTTGCTGTTCATCAAATCAACCAAAAAGGGTTTCCAAAGCCATAGACACACCGAGTCCAGGTCCCGAAGGGTGAAAGGTGTTCACCCACGGCTCCAATCGCTTCGTTTCGTGAATCCTCCCAAAACTCATGCCCAAAAGCAGTACAAAATACTGCGGCTGGTTTCAGACCGCTTCTGGGCTTCCCAACTCTCGATCCAAGGACTGAGTCGAGTTTCAAGAGCTTCGCCAGTGGGTTTGTGGGACCAGCGCCTCTATTTCCCACATGGGCACGTCCGAATAGCCCCTACAGTGGTGTTTTTCATGTTGGTGTCCAAATGGTCGGAGTCGTTCGAAGACCGTTACTTGTTCAGAGCGCCAACAGGCCCATACGGGTTAGGTTGGGGAATCCAACCCCCTGTGTGTCTACTTGTTGGGCGCCAGCCTCCCAACCACAGCCTTCAACCTAACCAAGAAAGGGGTAAGTTTCTTCAAAGCCTGTCATCCGTGCCAACAGAGGTCATGATGTTCCCGACCAAATGTTTTGCACCATTTAAGGGATAACCCTTAAAATTACTTAAAATGGCCATGAACTTGATCCTTCCGACAAGAACATGGGGGGGGTCGTATTGCAGGGACCCCCTCTCCCAAATGGCGGTGTTCCTGTTGGTTTCCCTCTAAAACCACCAAGCAAGTTGGTGCCAACTCAAAAGCAGACACAACGGGCATGTGAGGTTGGATGGTTCGTCTTGGCAAGGCCCAGGTTGCCCGCAGGATATGGATATAACCCGAAAAGCTGGCTGGTTTCATTTGAAGATGTCCCCCAAAAGCCAGCCTGAAATGCGCGTGTTCATGTCGGTTTTCCCGAAACAGTCAAGAAGGGGGTCTCTAGTCTCTATGAGACAACTCCAAACACACACAGTAAGACTTTCATTTTCAGGCTGGCCCAAGCCTGCTATCTGCCACTGACTCGTTCCTGGTTCCTCTCTTTGTGCATTGTAATTGGTCCGGTAAGACCAACGATTGAGCCTATAGCAAACTTCCGGCAAGAGTTGAGTGGTTACTGGTTTCTTGACAGCTGGAAGAACCACAAGAGCTTCGAATCCAAGGGTATCTTCCCTTTCAAGGGATCCTGTTTTCCGCCTCTCAACCCCAGAAGAAACGGCGGCCAGAGCCCGTTGCCCTTGTAAAGTGACCTTTTGTTCCCACCCGTTTTCCCCCCCCCCAAGAAAATATCTATATATATATATATCTACACACCAGCATAGACCCCAGAAGCCTTGGGCCCTTGGGCTATGCCCCGTGCAAGCATGGCCTGTTTCCAGATTCCTCAGGCCGGGCCGGGACCCGTCTGGATCAAGCGTCATTTTTTTGCCGGCTGAGAACTGGTTATGTTTGGGGCCAGTTTCTGGTAGATACTGTGGATGGACAAAATCCATTTCGCACCACGTTGAAACCATGGTTGAAACCATTGCTTGTTGGTTTTTCGTTGGGGAATCGAATCATTCCATAGTTTCTGGAAGGTGCTGCAAAATGGATTTCACAACCATCCACAGTACCAAGTTGGAGACTCCACTTGAAAGCCTGATAAACTGGATACACTGGTCACGGGGACGGCCCATGGGCGCACGTATCCGCAGAACAAAATGCTGCCCAACCAGCCCCCGAAAGTCCTTGTTGAACCAACTTAGGTCATAACCATGGTTCTAATTTCACCACCCCCAGTCATCCAAGTTATAACCATATTGTAACCTACCTGACGTTGCTTGGACATCCAAGTCCCAACCAATCCAAAAAACCGATTGGACAGCAGCTCGCAGCGCCCGCGAAAACGCCGCACCAGCGGAATCCCTTGTTGAATCATAGGCGTCCTTTTTGGTTGTTTTGCTAGGAAAATAGATGGGATTTAGTTAACCTGGTAGTTTGATCATCCACCAGGGAAATCCACCTATTTCCCCTAAAAGGACACCTACCTAGACTCTCGATGACCCGAAATAAACATGGGTCCATGACCAACCATTATTTTGGGTACTGACCAACCATTTTTCAAGGGTCCTGGAGACTCCAGGTATGCTCGTTGAATCCGACTCGCTAGGCCTTCCCCTTGTCCTTGGCCAAGTCCTTGGACGCCAAGGGCGATGGCATCTTAGTGGAGCTTCCCAGGCGCACCTTGGCCCAAGCGAAGAAAAACGGCACGACGCCCGCACTGGACCCTCAAAAATACCTTCCATCGTCCGAAATCAGTATATATATATATATATATATTCAGTCTTGTTGGTTTGATCATCTTTGTTTATTATTACTGCTTTTGAAGGGATTTTTCACTACTGGAAATATGTTTATGGTCTTTTTGTTGGAGTTTGGGTTCTCAATCCCTGAGTTCATGGACTTTAGACTTTTTTGTGTAGTTGGACCTTTGTACTGGTAAATCAACAATTTTGGTTACTTTGCAGAAAGGGACCTTACTTTTTTGGCCAGTCAGGAAGTGAGTACCTTTAAAACATGGATGATTGCCCTAAATCTATGGAGTGAACTCCATGCTATAAGGGTGAAGGTGCAGGTACGTCTTGCGTGCTCGAGCGAGTTGTCCGGATTTGACCTTTTGGTTTCCCCCGTTTCGTCCTTTCCATGTTAAGTCCTGTGGGCAACCTCTGTGAAGACTCGCACTTTTTATCGGTTCACCCACTCAGAATACTCGGATCTATGAATGTTGCATACCCTCTCTTTGTTTTTGGGACCAAGAGATAGGTGTTGAAAGTTCCAGCTCAGTCGTTTGTCCATGTTTTTTTTTCAATATTGGGTTTTTGGGAGAATCCCCTTCAAAGTGATACAGTAGTCATGGAAATCGGCCGCTTTGGTATCGCCGAAGCACAGGAAGTCCACAGTCATACAGTCCCATGTCAACACCTGCAAGGTAAAGGAAGGTCTTTTTTCACCAACCTGATCTACCAGGTCCCCAAACAGTTTGGGAAAACTGTACTGGCTTTGCATGAAGCGCACCAGTTGGATTGTGACAAAGGGGAAACGTATACAAAGCTGACAATTTGCAGGTGCCCCCTTATGTTGAGACGCCCATGGGGGACCCTGCCTGTTTGACTCATACCTGTTTGTTGGGCGCATAAACGCAGGCTAGTGCCAATTGGCTGTTTCGAATGCTGGATTAGGTTTTTGAACCCCTTGAATGGGAAATCGGTTTTTGAACCCCTGGCTTGCCTGGTTTTTGTGGAGGCTTAAATGGGAAACCAGCCCCAAGCCAATCCAAACCACCAATTGGAGGGATGAAGAAACCACGGTTCGACCGTCCGAGGCTCGCTCTACCTCTTCTACGGCTTCGCGCGCTACTTCCTGCGGCACGGGGTGCCATGGACCGGGCAGGAACGCGATTATCGCCGAGTGACTGCGGCATGGCAGCAGTGGGAAAGCACCAGTGCACCAGGGTAGCTGAAATGGGCGACTCATGGGTGACCTATGTGTGAGTCTTTTCTTGGTAATGGAATTCCCAAAATGGGGTGGGTTGTTCTTTGGCCCCCCTTCAAAACCCAACCAAAAGAGGGTCCCCGAAATACCAATAAAAATGACACACCCATACACAGATGAATCTCCATTATGAATCATTTGGGTGTGTCTGGTTGTGGGGAACACCCTTTTGGATGCTTTCAAGGGGAAACCAAAAGGACAACCTGGGGTTCCCCTATTTTGAGACAAGCCCGATTAGCTGGGGATTGATGTTGAGAAGGGCTGGATAACGTTTTGGGGAGTTGCACGCACAGGACGTCAGTGTTTGGGGTCGAATTACTTTCAATGAAAGCTTCAACCTTCACCTAGGTGACAACATAGGCTGACCCCAAGACAGGGCGGCGTTCCAGTCGATGTCCATTTAAACCTGAAGGTGAAAAGGGTGCCGAGCCTGAACACCAACTGGGACACACCTACTGTGGATGGTTGCGAAATCTATTTCGCACCACTTTGAAACCATGTTTGAAACCATAACGTTTGTTGGTATTTACCAGGGGAATCGAAATCATTCTAGGGTGAATTCTTGGGTGGTGCGAAATGGATTTCTGCCATTCACAGTATTTCTCCGTTGCTCAAATGGAACTGGCAGCCCTTACATGGACAGCTCCCGTCGCCACTCTCGTAGCGGGCACCCTCAACAAAGACTCGCACAGGTCCCGGGATGGACAAAACCCTGCACCGCCTAAGAGCCCTGGAATGATGATTCCCTGGTAAATTCCAACAAACAATGGTTTCCCATGGTTTCAAAGTGGTACAGAATTTCGTCCATCCACAGTAGGGAACACAGGTGATCCCTCCCCCCACCCCTGAGAGTAAACCGCGTTGGTCTTCTTCGCAGGCTCCCAAGATACTCCTCAAGCAGCGGGTTTTCGGAGCTAAACTCGCCTGGTTCAAGGTTCGTACTTCCCCAAGAGTGAGAACAAAATCACCGTGACGCCAATTGAGAGTGAGCTTGCTTGTGGGGAAACTTCTTGATTTCTTGGGCGTGCAAAGTATCCAAATCCCCTTTCTGTGAGTAGTCGCCCAGGCTTACTAACTATTTGCGTTCAGCTAATGCATCGCTCCGGGTATCTTTTTGTTGAGGGTCTGCCTTTTGGAGACGGTTGGAATTGAATCCAAAGGAACACCGCCCATTCATTTGTTCGGGGTTTTCTCATTCAGAGCCACGCCCAAAGATCCAGAGTTGTGTTCTCCAAAAAGTCAAGGCTTTTTTTTGGGACGAGGCTCCATACAAAGTTCGCTAAACAATAAAACAAAATATCCGGCAATACTCATGACTAATCTATGGTCCAGGAGAAAGACACTTTGGCCGTGGCTCATACGGTGCGGATGGCCAGAATCCAGCACCACTTTGAAGCCATGGTTGAAGCCATGGCGTTTGGTATTTACGTAGGGAAAAAGATTCGCTCCCAGGGTTTCTGAGTTCGGTGGTGCAAAGTGGATATCGCAACCATCCACAGCATGAGAGCCAAGGTTATTTCGCGGTTTGTTGGGTGGTGCGGAACGGACAAATTTCGCGTAACCATCCCACGGTTTCCCATTGGGAGCATTGAGACCAGGTGACTTTCCGCAGCGTGCCCGTGCTGCCTTCGAAGAGCTCGGCTTCCAAGGGTCAGCGCAAGTTGGCAGATGTGCGCCCTGCCGAAAACGGAAGGTTGCCGGGTGGCTTAATAACTCATTTCTGCCGTCTCCTTCTGACCCTTCGAAAATAGGTCCATGACCCCATTAGTTTAGGTTGACCCCATCTTAAAAGGTTCGTGGAGACTCTAGGTAGTCCCTTAATAGAATTTCAGGCAACCCATTGGTGATTTGGATTTGTGGTTACAACCGGAGCACCTTCGCACCACCAATCCAAACCACCATTTTTTCAGAATTTCATGGAATTTGCAGATCGTTTGGGAACCCTAATGCCCCAAAGCCCCAACCTTCACCCCTCATACGGTGGATGGACGAAATCCTGCACCACTTGGAAACCATCGGAAGCCATTTCATTGTTGGTATTTACAGAGGAATCATCATTCCGCCGTTTCTTAGGTGGTGGGAAATGGATTTCGTCCATCCACAGTATCACCCCCGCCCGCCCTGACCCCCACAAGCCAAGGTTGGAGCCCCGGTCCAAGCGGCGCAAGAGGCCGGCTTCGGGGCTCAGCGAGCGGCTGGAGATCGACCTCTGCAGCGAGGAAGAATAAAAACGCGCGGAACCGCCGCCGCGCTGGGCGCAAATCATAACCAGCCTGGGGGCAAAAAACGCTATATGTGCTATACATAGATATATATATATATATACGTTATATATATATATATTATGTGATTTGTTCAGTCCTAACAGGGATGATAAGTACTTGCAATTTTCCTGATATAGTAGCACGCAGGCCATGAATTTCTATGTGGAATCTCGTAAGTGGTTGGTGGACACACATCCTAACCTATCTGACGTCCACCAAAGGGTCCCCCCAATGAAATTCACACCCCGCAGGGCCACAATCAAACCCGGGTAGATGAATGCTAGTAAGGGACAGTCCCAGTTATGAATAGTTGCGGATATCCGTGCTGTTTATCCCCTTTAGTATTGGAGCAGTACCAGATTTTGATTATGACTCCCCCTGCGGTACGGTGAGGTCACAGATGATCTTGCTGGTTCTGAGTAGGGAATCGCCAAGGGTTTTGGGATGGAACCTGGTCCAGGAAACGACACGGTATACACACGGGTCATTCCCTTGAGAACCAACAAGTGGCCATGATCTTTAGTAGGGAACCTCACAAGTGTTGGACATGAGTCCCACAGAAATGATGCCAACCCCCCATTTGTAATGCACAGCCAAGCAACGAACGCCTGGCACCTCATCAGTTGGTGGGTAGTTTGCTTCCTACCTGGCTTCATGCGGTGTCATGATAAGCTCTATACAAACCTAGCCATGTTGGCCAAAAGATTGCATCTGAGAACATGTTGAACCCCCTTGTACATTATGTTAGGTTTATTTGGTGGTTGGTTGGACAGTGGGTGCCGTTAAGTTTCCTTTTGAGACAACTCACACAGGGATGCCTGCCGAAAAGAAAAGAAGATACAAATACACGTGGCACGTGGGGAACAAGGGAAGACCGACAGTTTACTATTGCTTGCGGTTGCTTCTTTGTGTACAGTAACACTTCCGGAATTTCCATACCCCTGGAAAATGAGCATGGAGCTCAACAACTGGCTGGTTGCCGAAGACCAAGTGGCTTTGCTAGACTGAACACATGGAGATACGTCTAGGCGGAGACAGAGCCAATTCGCTCTGGAGTTGGAGCCGCCCTATTTTGAGTTTCTACCAGAGTTGCTCGAGAACGCTCCTACAAGTGGCTTCGAGGGATGCCTGGTTTCGAGGGACGCCTTTGCTCGCTTCACTTTGACATACAAAACAGAAGGCTCCACGCAGCCGCACTGAAACCCAATGACACAGCGCTGAGAGCACCTAGCAGTTTCAAGCAAAAGGACCACCATGGGTATGCGTCGGATCATGGTGGGCGACATAGCGAAACGACTGGGAACTGGGCAGGGTTACTACCGTAAATAGTCCATCATCTTTTTAACTACCCCAAAGTCAAGCCAAGAGGGGCTTTTTTGAAGCCCTCTATTTAGCACCCAGCCAAACACTCAGCTCGATCTAGGCTTGAAGATGTATTTGGAGGAGAAGGAGATCTTCCGGATGGACCACTACCTGGCGAAGACGCTGGTCTTGTGCCCAGGACGTCTTCTTTTTGCTTCCAAAAAGTGGCTCCCGAAGCAACATAACCTGCGAGCGTCCAGGATTTCTTGGCCTCGAACCTCTTAGCTTTCAGACAACAGCTTCCCACGGCAACAGACAGAAATACCGTTTGATTGATGCGTGTTTGGCCTAGGTTAAACGCACTCTGACCTCGCCAAGAGCAGTTCGCCCCGCAAGTTGATCATAAGTAGTCAAGGTTGCCAACCACTGGCTTGGTAATTAAAGCCCGAGCAGGCTTCATAGCCATGGTTCTGCGCAAACCCACTCAGCTCTCCTGCATGGGGGTTGCATCGGTCTTACCAACGAAGCACTCAGAACATGTCCCTTTGTCCCAATGGATTATCCGCTTGGTGTTGTTTGTTGCTGTTCTTGTGTTGCTGTTCTTGCGCGACGCAAAGAACCTGCAGCTACTGTCTCTGGCGGCCTCCTAACATTGCTGGACTTGGTTGATCAATATTCCTGGCCCCCAAAATGACCAGGCATGTCAAACAATCTGGTTTGTGGTTTCCGTGATCATCTTAACCTTTTGTCTTTTGGTTTTCCGGCATTCCTTTCAACCAGTAAGTTAACCTTTTGCAATCGAATCCGTTTGGCCCAATAGTTTGGTTTCGTAATTGGTGTTGTTTGGTTCAACAGCGTCAAGCGTCTCGTGTGTCCATCGGTCCATCCGGCGGAAAAGCCCCGTGGCTTTGTCGCACGCGCCTGCTGTGTCAACCCCCGAAATGGCGCGTTTCTTTTGGGCCCCACAAGTAGTCAAATCAGAAGCCCTCCTTGCTTGCTCAAAGCAATCGACCTTTTGACCATAGCTTTTTCTTGGCAATCATTTTTTGAGGTTCCAAAGGTGATCAGCTTTTCCACTTCCAGGTTTTGCAGGGCAACTGAGCAACAAGTTCAGAGTCCTCGAGTTAACCCTACCACGCCAGCCTGCCTTCCGCCCAAGGTTTTGAACCTCTTGACGCTGAGGTTCGCCAACCGGGTGCCCTCGGCCTGTAGTTCTCCTATTTAGGGTGCCGCTTTTTAAAGCAAACCAACACATGTACAGCACAGAGGGTGTTTCTCTGGGGCAGAGGTCCCTGTAGTTTCCTCTTTGTTGTGTTCTGTTTGTCAACAAAATTTTTAATATACCATTATATTATATTATATTATATTATATTATATTATATTATATTATATTATATTATATTATATATGCACAAATGAGTTTTCGTGTCCCCAGATGTGGGCGAAATTTAGTGATCCCTGTTGCCCGCTCATGTTCTGTGGGGCTATGAACAAGGTCACGGACCATGTACGCTCAGGCTGATCGCCCCCATTTTCCCGGCCTAGAATCAATAGCTCTGTGCCGCGAGGCTGAGGGGCTTTTTGGACTCTGGCCCGTCCACTCAGGAGGAAAGTTTCCGGAAAGTTGTGGATAGTGGCTTAACAAGAACGCGCGCGCCCTTTGAAGATCAAAGGAGGCCCCTAGCAGCGCATGTGTATTTTTCTTACAAGCTTGTGAAGCGTAGCTTGTAGTCCACTTCCCCCAAGCCAATACCTCCCAAGAGAGAATGGGTATGCAAGAATTTAGCCACTAGCCATTCAAATACATCCCCCATGTTCTTTGGGTGTATCATCTTTGATCCTAATCACAGCGTGGGACCAGGTTTCGAATGCATCTAAGCATGCCCGGAACCTACTCAGGTTCGGGACCTGCTCCGCACCTGCCGCAAGCCTTCCGATTCCCCTGGGTCGATCCCCGGCCTAAGCTTCCATTTGTTTGAGTTTCACTTGTTGGTGTTTAAGGGAATCTATCACTGCAACTAAGTGGCAAGCCGTCAGAAATGCTGTTACTTGTGAAGGGGTGCTTGGAAGTACTCGCTGGCTTTTGATTGCTTAGTCTTTGTTTCAAGGCGGGCCGCACGAGATTCAAGCAGATCCCCTTGTCAAAGCTAGCTTAGCGCTAGCGCTAGCTTTTTTGGGTGGAGAAACTTATGTTGCTTTCAAAAGCTTGTTTGCTAAAAGCCTGTTTGCTCAGAGTCTGTATGGTTGCAGCAGATTCTGTGTGGTTCCAGCATCATGGCCCAGGAGCACCACGTTGACAATTCCATTGCACGGGTGCTGTGTTGCCATTTTCCTGCACAAATCCAAAGCAATGCTTCGCGCCAGCCTGGCGCTAGCTCGCGCTAGCGCTCGCGCTAGCAGTGGGCCCATCATGTGAGCCATGCCCCCTTGGAGCAACATCCCCAAGCCGCATCAACCTGCAGACTCCGCCATCCCCAAGACCACTATTCTTGACAAGACAACGACGCATCATTGGGATACGGGCCGCATGGAAACAGTCATTTCCAAACAACTGGGCAAGCAACATTTTGACAACCAGCCACGTGAGTATGTTCCAGGTTCAGCCAATGTAAGTAAGCTTTGTTTTGGGGAACAAATTCTTACTTTTGTCTTCAGCGGAGCTTCGCGGGTTTCAGTGTCTATGTGCCAGCGGGTTGACACTCGCCAGGAGCTGGGACATTTGTTCCACTGCCACCATGTGGCCAATGCCAGGGGCGCCCGGATCGATCCGATCAACTAAGGGAGGGATCAACCCAGGGTTGCTTAGGGTTCCCGAAACCGGGCTCCAAACGGTTTTCTGGCCTAAGGGAACACCCCCTTGGACCACATCTCCCTTACACCACCGAAGAATCCCTGGAATGAGGTGATTCCCCTGTCAATACCAACGAACCATGGTTTTGACCATGGTTTCATGTCGTGGTGCAAACGGACTTCTCCACCAACACCACTCCCTGAATCTAAGATGGGTTCCACTACCCCCAAACCACTACCCCCCAGGTTAAATTTGGATGTATACCCTTTATATGGTGGCTGTATATCTCGTTATTTTTTTGGGTAGCTTCGGTTTGGGGGTAAAACCATGTTAAGCTGAAAACACCCGGAGCTTCGCCCTGAGGTTCGCATCACCTTCAAGGAGGCCATCGGCGTTCAAGGCCGCCCGGACTCCCAGGCGGCAAAGGACCCAATCGCCCACCCCGGGATGGCCACGTTGCCATGGATCCTGGCGTTTCGGGGTCCCGGTTTGGACCAGTTTCCTTTAAGGGGACACTCTGGCATTCCATGCTAGTGGACAGGAGGGTATGAGGTTCTGCATGAGCAACACAAGACCTTTGGCTGAAGCGAACATGCTGTTGGTCCCCTTGGTTTCAGCGAGCTATGACTCCTGGTACGTGGTTGGTTGTCTTCCCGTGACTTAACGAAATGGAGGATACGCATTGCTGGGTTGGTGGGTTCCTACAGAGGTCCCCTCCAAACTGTTGTTGTGTATGGGCGAAATCCTGCACCAGTTTTTGAAACCACGGAAAACCATGGCTTGTTGGTATTTACAGGGGAGTCATCCTTCCAGGCTCTGTTAGGTGGTGCAGGAATTCGCTCGTCCGCAGTATGTCTCAGGGTAGACTAGG